CATCCCTGACCGAGCAGTCGGAGGCTCCGAGAGGAAGTCTAAGTCGGAGGTCTGAGTGGGCCTTCCCTTGGCCTCGGAGACACGTTTCCCTTCCTCTTGTGCAAACTCTCTGCTTTTAAGGAGCTCTGGTGGGGAAGAGAGAGAGAGTGTGTGTGTGTGTGTGTTGTAACTACAAACTCAGCAGTTCCAACCTACCTACAGCTCCGAGGGAGAACGTTGAGGCATCTCCTCCCTTAAAGATGCACAGCCTTGGCAGACCTCTATAGGGCTGCTATGGGGGGTGGAATCAACTCAATGGCAGTGTTTGGGGCATATCTTATTTCATATTTACGCTGTTCCTTTCTGCTTGATGCCTTGAATTCTTTCCAAAACGACTCCTCAAAGCCCTCACTGTAAAGCCAGAGTCCCCTGAGGGCGTCCGACTGTTAGGGTCCTGCACTTGCAGGCTTTACATTTCTGGCTCCTGCCAGATGACCCCCTAGTAATTCCACATGGCTGCCCCACCCCATAGGAAACGATTGCATAAGATTTAATTCTGACCTGCCCTGACATGATGAACAGGTTAAAGATGACTTGTGGGATGTTTCTAATCCATTGGTGCCGGCTGGGGAGGGCACGGAGGAGTTACCCTTTTGGGGTGCTGGGTACAGGGAGCAAAGTTGCCCACAGGCAGTGCCAGGGACTCCCAGATAAGTCAATGCTGGCCCGGCCACACAGAAGCGGTGAGCTTCATCACATCGAAGCAGTGCAGTTTTCAGGCAGAACCTGGATGTAACTTGCCAGGGGCAGCAGAAGTGGCTGGGGACCGTGGGCAAGGCCCGAGCACGTCTTGGCCACGGAGAGCGCAAAAGCAAGGGCTTCCAGGGTGCACGCTGTGGGCACACGTGCAGGGGAGAGTAAGGGTGCAGAGGCCCACGGGTTTCCTTTCTGAACCTCTTTTCATTCCATTTGCTTTAGGACTCTGTGAAGGCACCGCTAAAAAGGAAATCTGAAACCACCGAGAACAAAGGAACAGCCGACAAAGGGCTTAGTCGGCCTTTGGTTTGGAGAACATCACTTGCTCCTGGATGTATAAAAAGGCCACTTTCTAGGCAAAACTGGAAAGAAAGCAAAGCCCAATCAGCAACCCTGTCCTCCCTCTGCACAGACCCCACCGCCTCCCCGTGTTCAGGGCAGACATGCTAATGTTCCAGTGCTTCACCTCTGAACACCACGCCAGGCCCAGGATCCCAGGTGTAACCTCACCAGTTCCCCCAAGAGAAAGCACATTCAGCTCGGAAAGCAGGAGTCTCAATGCCAGGGCCAGACTGTTGCTGCCTCTGTATAGCCTCGGGCAAGTCCGGAACCTTGCCGCCCCCACCCCCTAGACCTCAGTTTCTCTTCCTGGGCAAGGAATGAGGGTTGGGAACTTTGATCCGCAAGGCCTCCGATTACTTGATCATCCCACGAGTCTGAGATGAAGGCTTTTCAACCACACATTTCTCAGCAAGGATGAAATAAAGCAGCTCTCCCCTCCCGGGTGCACGCCAGAGGGGCATGCCGTTGGGTCGCCTGAGTAGTCATTAGGCAGCCAGCTGCAAACTTGTGTTTTCCTCAGGGATCACGGAGGAGCCCTCCAGCCCTGCGGGGAGGGAGAGCGTCTCTTTCAAACAAAGCTGCCACTTGCACTGCCGGCATCTGCTGGCTGTTGTCCGGCGAATTCAACACCCGGTGCTCTGCTGCGGGCAAGTCCCTGTTCAAGGTTCTTACTGGGTTTAAGAGCCTTGCCTCTCCAAGTTAATTTTCCCCGACGTGTCTATCACAGGTTAATACTGGACTCCGGGATAATGATACATAATTTGAGACTTGTAAAAGCTGCGTTGGACATGAAAGAAACACACTCTATGCCAGGAAGGTTGTGCCAGCCTGCAAAAGTACCCTGGGTATCCCGTCGACTGTCCACAGCCAGGAGCCACGCTCTTGACACATTTCTGAAGGTGCCACACAGGCATCCTGAGCCCTCGGCTGCCGGGCAGTGGGACCGGCCCGCCACCACGTGCTCTTCCCTTTCTTGGGACCACCCCTGCACGGCAACTGCCCCTAAAGGGAAATGCGCTCTTTTCACTGGATCAAGAAACATTGCATGGATTTAAAGTGATGCAACAAGATTGCCCTAATGGTTTCTAAACTGGGCTTTTAAGACTTCTGGGGCCAGGCTGGTGAAGAACTGCCTCAGGGCACCTTCTCCCTCAGTGTGCCAGGCTGGTTGTTGGCATTGCTGGAAGCTGACATAGCTGGAGCCAGGATGTTTAGCTGCTTGTGGGGTGGGGGGAAAATGTTAAGAAAAATAATTGTTGTTTTTGCAAACTATCTATTTAAAAACAGAACCTCAGGAAACAGATTTCTGTCCCCAGGCTTGGATGAATCAGAGTCTACAAAGTATAAATACACATTAGCAGGAGGAGGGTGCCCATCTCCCGTCTGCTTGCACGCCTTCCCAGAGCAGGGACCTCGGAACGGTTTCTCATTCCCAGTAGAAGGAAGAAAAAGATCCGCAGTCAAATCGGAAATGACGGGGCACGGCTTGGCCTCCGTTTCAAGCTGTTATTAGAATCTCAGTTTGTAGTAGGCCTTTCTTTGATCTTTAAAGGCTGGCTGGTCTTCAGCTACGCAACTGCCCACTTTTAGACAGACAGGTGTCCGGCTGCTTAGGAAGGTGGGAAAACCCATCCACAGGTTCTCTGCTCAGAAAAATTACTATGTAATTTTGACTCATCTGACCCTCCGATCAACTAATAAATACGAAACGTGTTGACCGCAACCTGCTTACAGGGCAGTGTAATTATTTTCTTTAAAAAATGATGTCAGGTGGCCATTGAGCAACAAACTGGCTTCGAGGCTACTTAATTCAGTTTAATAGGGAGGGAAAACACTGTAATTAATGAAGAGCTTATCCTTCAGTACGTTAGCAGGGTTGTTCACAAATGTCCGTGTACTGAAGCAGGCTGGTGGAGAGGTGGGGTTGAAATGGGGATTCCCAGGCCAGGATCTGGCAGATCTGGTCTGTCTGGTGGCTCTTGGGTTGGGCCTGGGGGGATCTACACTTAAGAGAACCTTTCTTGCAAGTTCTACTTCCAATCATTACTCCATCTCCAACGACCTCTTCTACCTCAGACCCACTTGGCTTTTAGTCAATGAAGATGATACAACGCGCCCCCCCCACCCCACCCCGAGTCTACATCATCTAAATCTAAAACCTCAAGGCAGATTAGAATCTCACTACCCACCCTAAAATAGCAGGCAAGATTCTGGTCTGAGCCATGTTTTCTTTATTTTGTCTGCGGTCCCTTTAGAGCCCAGAACATTCGTGGGGAAGGAGAGTGAAGGCACGAAGCCCTTTACCTCTCTCGGATGACAGCCAGGACTACACTGCCTGCTTCCTTCTCTCGGGAGACAGAGAGGAGCCACCCTTTGCAGTTACTGTCCGGGAAGCCTGGCCCAGATGAGCCTGGTCTTTATGTTCGCACTGCCCAAAAGGTCCCAGGCAGGTGGTCTGGTAAGTCAACACATTTGAATCTCAAGATCACTTCCCTCCTGGAATAAGCATCACAGAGGTTCGTTAAATAAACTTTTTTCCCCCTTTTGGCAGCTACTCAGATTCTGGGGTCCTGCACAAGCCAAGTTTACAAATCACGGGAGCTAGGTGCTGCTTGAGGGCAGCATTTGAACTCAGACTGTCCCGACGGGTTGGATCTGCCCCAGAAGAAGCCATTGCCACGCTGACCCCACCCTGTGTGCACCAGCAGAGACCAGAGAAAGTACTGCATTCCACGAGGGCAGGGAGATGTCACGGGAACTCAGGCTTACCACGGCCCAGGGCCTCTGGGCAGCCGCTGCAACAAGCCAGAGACCATTGTTGGCCCCTCAAGGCTGTCACGAACTGACTCCCTGGTTGGCTCATGCCCAGGGATAGAGGGAGATTCAAAACCTGAAAGCCTTGCTTACAAAACGCCTATCAGAGAACACAATTCCTAGGCTGGTACAAAAAGGGAAAAATCGTTTTCCAAGACACACCTGTCAGCTTATCCTCCCCATTCCAAGTTTGCTGATGAAGCATTTGCCATGGAAACCAGAGGTGGGCGGACAGGCCCGGATGCTGAAGAGGAGACTCAGGCTCTGGCTTCCTAACCAGCAGCAGGGAACCAGCAGGTGACCCCTTTCTGCAGCAGCTGGAAACCATTCAGGCACTTGTCACACACAACTCAGCCTTCACTGTAGATGGGCCAGAGACAAAGCTACCCACACAACCCTTCTTGGCGGGGCTGGGCCCAGAGATTCTTCAAACACCCAGCCAGTAAGAATCACAACTCTCCTGCCCTTCCCTCAGTGCCCGACTCTGGGACCTCACAGGCAGCCAGACACCCAGCACCCGTGGCCACCATGTGGGGACCTTCCACACACTTCCCTGCCTCCCTGGGAACAAGGTGATGAGCAGATGGGTCCCAACACCAGCAGCATGGGCCTACCCTCTGTAGAGCGAGGAACAGTGAACCCTGGGGACCTCAGCATGCACGCAAGCTGCGAGGGCATGGCCTGCACATAAGGATCAATCCAGGTAAAGCCTCATTCACGTCATCCCCAAGCCCAGTGCCCAACTCCTGCGAGCCCTGTTTAAGTGTGGTGGGCATTTTCTCCGAGGGCGCTGGAACAATTCTCTGCTATGCTACAAACCATTAATCCAGTTGTGTTTATTCAAGCCGTATTCACACTTGCTGCTGAATAACCCCTTTTTAAGTGTTACAGAACAGCTAAACAAGGGGAGCTAGGCCCCCTGGGGTCAGGACTCTCTGCCCCGCCACCCCATTTCTGAGAACTTCAAATGCATTTTGTGGCATAAAAGGCCTTTCAGTGATTCCTTAAGTCCCCTTGTGAAGCCCTCACCCATCACCCCTCGATGACCAGCGACGTGGCAAAGGCACAGCCAAGCACAACTGCTGCAGCTCAGGAATCCACACTATTCCTTGTTTTCATACAAAAAATTTAATAAATATTTTTCAAAATTTATTGCCAGGAACAACACATCAGAGATGCATTTTTCTGTTCATTTAACACTAATAGGACAATACAAAGTTATCTTCATGGTCTCAACGGGGAACCAAAGAGATTACTCTGTTTTATAAGCCTTTTTGATCTTAAACATCATAATAGCACTTCGATTTCCTCACGTAAGGCGGGCAGTGTAATCTATGGCCAATCTAAACAGTGATCTTACTGGACATTTTACGGTTCAAGTATTCAACTAGCTTATTAGAATACTCCCTAAATGCGGTAGATAACAACAAAAATAAATCAAATCTACAGGTGGTTCAGCATTACATACGAATGGTGAAAAGAAATCAGAATTTACAACATAAGATTGGTGTGCTTCCAAAGTCACGGAATTTATCAGTTGATATTTTTAATGATATTCAACCATTCACATTTTGGCTACATTAAGTCATCGTTCACCTGTGTCCCTCGTGCTGCAGCAGCTCACCTGCCTGCCTCTGTTCGAGTCCAAAGCAGAAAAACAAAGCAAAACAACCTCTCTAGACTAATTCTCAAACTGCCTCAGTCAGTCCTTAAAACGTGTCTTTAAAGTGATGCTATAGAAGGTGTTTTAAACATCTGACGTCGTACAAATAATTGAAAAAAACCATCAGTATTCAGGCACAGAAGCCATCCTATTGTTTTAAAAATAAACTTTTCCAAACACCTTAAATTTTGGCTTATAGGCAACATGTAATAAGAAAAAAAGTTCAAATTAAAAAAAGCTAGAAGCTTACAACACTATCAAAAACCTTCAACTCTAAACACGTCCATATAAATAAAAAGGAATGATGTTTTAAGGCTCTCGATTATTAAGTTAATAAATCAAATATACACAGTGATTAATAAAAAAGAATTATTTACATAACTATACAAAAAATTCTACTTTTGACACATTTTTCCTCTTTAAATTCTTCATTTTACCAGCAACTGCTGACATCAAAGTCCCCCCACCCCCACCAAAAAAAAAAAAAAATACAATAAAAAAAATAAATAATAAACTCATTTGTGATAGTTGCTGTGGTTCTGAGCTGCAAGGCACTTTCAAATACAGAACTACTTGTACGTCATCATAAAACCAATATACAAAAACAACTCAAGAGTCAATAAATATAAATAAAAACTATTCTCCGAGGACCGCGTCACCATCAGGACCCCTGGCAGAAGTGCAGCTCAAGGACTATGGGCGAGACGTCTCCGGGCGGCCCAGGCCCTGGCGCAAAAGTCGGCTGCAGGGGAGCCTGCACGCGGGCCCGGGGACTGGATTGCATAGATGTGAAATGCAGCACACTTGGGATTTCCAGCCAGCCACAGATAAAACTACCCTTGCTGCCAGTGTGAGCCAGCTTGTCAGAACTTAAATTAACACAGGGTTCCAAGTCCGAACAACAGCCTCAGACTCAAACGTGACACCACCGCTTCAAGAACTATAAGCCCGAGTGCCTTTCCACACTACCGAAGGGTGGCGTCCGCGAGGCGGCAGCACCGTTTGTCTGCTATACGATGTACTCCATCCGGTTCAAGCTTTGGGCACTCTCCAGGTCCCTGTTGTCCTGTTTGTTTGTCCAGTTTGGGTGCTTTGTCGGTGTGCTGTTGGGGGGCTTCTCCTCTCTGTCTACCAGGGTGTACGCCGGCTGCTTGGCAAACCGGGCTCTCTGCTGGTGCTTGTCCATGTCGTCCTCTTCCACTTCCGAATTGTGTGTCCTTATCTTGGACATCTTGGAGTTCTTGTTCTCGTAATCCTTGCCGGGCACTGTGTTGGCCCCGTGCTTCTCAATGGGGTTCTTGATCTGGTTCAGCTGCTCGCGTACGTTGTTGGTGGTGTTGTCCTCCGAGGCCGAGTGAGTGTGGCTGCTCGGCTTCCGTCGCTTCCGCACACACCAGTAGAAGGCCGTCAGCAAGCAACAGACCCACGCTACGGTTAAGATGGAGCTCAGCAAGGGAACCAGGAAATCTGTAAGGCAGGCACGAAACCAATGAACTCGCCAAATGAAAACAACAAACCCGAAACACACCACAGGATCAAAAGCATACCGACAGTGGTTGCCCTGTCCTTAGTCCCCAAAAGGGGCACCTTGGGGACAAGTCCCTTTTCACAACCACATGTTGTCAATTCACAGCTTGATAAGCAATGGCTGGTTTGGGGTCCTTGGAGACCTTGACTCTGCTCCCTGGAGAGGCCGAGTGGAGCAGTGGCTCCTACACCCTGATTCCGTGTGGGAAGAGCAGTGTCTGGGTGCGACAAGGGGCGGCTGACGAGTCAGGGCGCGCATGAGAAGATCGGAATTCCAGAGTTACCAGAATCCTGATGCAAGTGACTCACGGTTAGACTAGACGCCCAGCGTCTCACCTGACTTGTATAGCAGGAGGCAAGAGAGTCACCAGGGGAGTCGGAAAGCCCTGCGGGGCTGAGAGACCAGTGGCTGTCCCCTGATGCCAAAGGCTCTCTGGCCTCAGGTGGTCTCCAGCTCAAGGCACTGTCGCACTCGGCCCTGTGGCTTCAGGATGGACTGAGAAGCAGTACAGTTCCCGCAGGGCAGCCTGCTCCCAGGATGACCAAAAGGTTATTGGGAGGAAGAGAGAGAGGTCACCTCTAGCCCCCATCAGCCCTATAATCTTGGTCAAACTGGCTGGTCTAGGATTTTCTCACCCATTACGTGGAGGGCTCCCCCTGAAGGAGGACTTGGCAGCAGAGTTCTCGACCTCAACCGTGTGGTAAGATAGGCTTGAGAGAGTCATCCCAGAAAAGGGCCCCGTCCATGCGTCCATGCTCACTTCGTGACACGCACCTGTTTTGTTCTTCGCGGGGCGCCTCTGCACTCTCACTTCTGCGACAGCAGCAATCAGCGAGCTGTTCCCATCACGTTTACTAACGAGATCTATGATTTTGTCCGTGATATCTTTGATAGGGTTTCCATCATCCCGTATGTCCTCAGCAGACTGGAAAGGAGAGAGCCAGGGGGCTTGAGGGTCAGCAGGCCAACTGCCCAGTACCCTTTACTCAAGATGTCTCGACACTATGTGGGCCCAAGGCTCATTTGTTTTAATTCTGCCGATTTTTAAGGCTCTTTAAGCTATCTGCTCAACTTTGAGACTAGCTAAGTTGCTGAGCAGCCCCCCCACCCCACCCGTGATTGTACATTGGGTGGACAGGTTTTATACTTACAATGGCCACATGAATTTCATTGCTGGCTGAGGGGGAAGGCTCACAAGCTATGTAGATTGAATATTCAGCAGAAACATTCTTCAAAATATTCAGATTCCGTAATTCACTGCAAATGTGTTCAGTGGTAAGACCCTAAAACAAATTTTAGAAGTCCACGCACGTAAGAATATTGCAAACACCACCACACCCAAAGCTCAATGTTTCCCTTGAAATTAGGCTAAATGCAAGCCCTGCTTTCAGAGGAGACAGGGGTGGGAACAAGCTCCTTGCTTGTGACACCCGCTTCAAAATGTACACACATGCGCCTACCCTTCCGAAAATTAGAGAAGACAGTTCCATACCGGTGACATCATCTCCTTGTTGAAGGTGAAGGTGATGTTTGCACAGTTATCCTGGTAATAAGAGTCAAAGGTGCACTTGGTCTTCACTGGCTGGAGGCCGGATGACCGGCATTCCCCGACACCAGTGCAGGGACGCACAAAACACTGGTCGTCCAGGATGGGGATGCAGCTCTGCCCACCAGGGCACTCGCTGTGCCCTTTGTGCAGCAGGCATGGCCGAGGGCCACACCAGACCTGAGGACAGACAGACAAACAGGGCTTAGAAAAAGCACCACCAGCAATCCTTAACCCCTGGAGGCCTGGGCAGCCCTGGCACACCTCACCTTCGAGCAGGCGATCCTTCCATTCAGGCACTGGCAGGTATTGCAGTCGTCGTCCCACTTGGCCCCGTCTGGTATCAAGCTCCCCATGGTGACGCAAGGTCTCCTGGAAACTAATGGGTGGAGTTGTGTGAATGCCAGGAGTTTCCTTTTCGGCAGAGCCAATCGCTGTCCTCGCCTCTTCACTCCCTCCCTGTTAGGAGATGGTGGCACCTGTGCCCTAGGCCATGTGACAACATACTTTCTCTCCCAGGTGGGCAGCACCATCTCCTCCCTGCTGATTTATGTTTGACCACATGGCTTGCTTTGGCCACTGCAATGTTAGCAGATGACCTATGCCAGAGACTTCAACTGGGGTTTTCACAGTTGAATTTGGCCTCCTGCACATTTTCCATGTGCCAATAGAAGAACATGCCTCAGATACAGACACTGGTCCTGGAAAGAGGTGGAGGCACTTAGAACAACCCTGAACACAACCCAAAGCACAATCACTCTAAAGAAGAGCCAGCTGCCATCCAGCCATCCTGACTCATGAGGGGCAGCCCCGTGGGCCAGAGTAGCACTGTGCTCCAGTGGGTTTCCAATGGCTGATGCTTCAGCAATCGATCACCAGGGCCTTTTCTTCCAGGGTACCTCTGGGTGGATCTGAACCCCCAACCTTCCAGTTAAAAGCCAAGTGCCATTCCCTGTCTGCACTACCCAGGCTTTTCCACTAAATAACTCGACCCACCCAATTAAAAATAAATGTGTATTGTAAGCCACTGGGTTTGGGGATGTTTGTTACACAGCATGATGGCAACAATCGCTGACTGAAAACAAGAGGCCGGTCAACAGCCACCCTGACTTAAGGGATCACAGTACCGCCACAGACATAACAGAACGGCCCCTTCAATTTCCAAAGCTGGAAAGCCTTACAGAAGCAGAGCGCCTTATCTTTCTCCCATGGGGTGGCTGGTCGCACTGCTCTTGTTGGTTAGCAACTGACTGCGTAACTCAGATTGCTGTGAGTCAGAGCCGACTCAATGACAGCAAGTTTGGTATGGGGTTTTTGTCTTTAGGAGAAAAAGCCCTGGTGGCAGTGGGTTACACATTGAACTGCTAACCACAAGGTCACGCGCTTGTTCTGTAGGAGAACGAGGAGGCCCGTCTGCTCCTAGAGACTTACAAGTCTTGGGAAGTCAAAGGCACGGGGAGGCTCCGAGTCAGAATCAGCTCAATGGCAGCGGGTTGCGTTCATCCTGAGGAGACTCTCATCTCAAGCCCTGGCTGCTGCTAAACTGTCCCCTCTCCGAGCACAGCACCCATTGGTGAAAGGTCCCCACTGCAAGGTCTGTTCACCATGGAGGCCCAGGGGCAGCTAGGCCCCCGCCACTTACCTTCCTGGCACTCGGCCCCGCCGTGGCCTGGTGGACAAACACACCGGTAGCCATTGATCTCATCCACACAGGTGGCCCCGAAGGCGCAAGGGGAGGATTGGCATTCATTGATGTCTGGGGGAAATGGAGTTCAAGTTCAGGTTCCAAGGGGAGGCACTAATGTTTGTTAGCATATATATATATATATATATCTCTATATAAAAACATTTTTTAATCACTGACATACACGTACAGAAAAGCTTACAAGTTTTAAGTATAAGCTCCATGAACTCACGGAACCAACCGGCAACCAAACAGCGATATCAACCTCTCAATAAAGTCTCCACTCTGCTCACCCCCTCCACCAGGATCACGGCCATCCCACTGCCTTGGACAGGCGGCCAGTTTTAATTCAGCTCATTTTTCTGACAGTGCAATTTTGAGCAAAAGCCCATCAAGTCTTTCTGCAAAGGCCCAGATAGTATCTTGGGGTTTGTGGGCCGGTGGGTGTTCGTCACACCTCTTCAACTCTGTCCTCCAAGCACGGATGCCTGCCGCCGTAGATGGATGTGAGCGAGGGCGGCATGCTTCAATAAAACTAGTGTGCACCGGGATTCAGCCCCAGGTTCTACAGTGCCAACCCGAGTTAGAAACATGAGCCAAATCCAACCTACCCACATCTAGTGCAGACATCCAGTAGAGCCCAGACTTGGAGATTTCCCACACCAGGAAAAGTCCAAACAAGTTAGGGGCAAGTATGTGTGCATATCCCCCATCCTCCGCAAAACACAAAAACAAAAAAAAAAACCCACAACAACAATCAAATAATATGAGGGGGTTTCAAAAAGTTCCTGGAAAATTCCCATTATCTTTTAATTCAATCTTTCCACAAAACACTGAAACCTCCCTCATAGCACCACTCTATGGCTTTTTGTAGAAGAGAGACAGGGAAAAAGAAAAATATTGAAAATAAAGAACAAAGCTATAAATTTGAACTGTACTGCCCATCTCTATAGCCCCCTTTGGTTTTAATCAGGTTTCCGGGACCTGATAAAACCTGTCTCCACCCAGTCCTGGAAAGACAGCCTGGTCCCCTTCTGGGCAAGTTAGCCCTGCCCCAGACCAGTGTACCTGTGGCAAATGCCTGCCTGCCATCGATTTCCTGTTAGTCATGGGCAATGCTCACATGCCCCGTGAGGATGCGTGTGGATGAATCGTCAGTTCCACAACCAAAGACCCAGGAGTGCAGAGCCAGCCACTCCACCATCACCAGGTACCTGGGAGGAGCCTGCAAAGGGGCATCTTAATCCCAGCTGGAGGCAGGAGATTAGCAGCTCTCTCAGCACTACTTAAAAGGAAACTGTGGCCTTAATTGCTTTTAAGGATGAAAAAGGTCTCAAACGGAAGGGGGGGGGGCGTGGGGAGAGAGAGCAAGCCTTCCTTACTTATTCTGCAGTCAGGCCCGGCGAAACCTGGGGCACATTCACAGCGGTACCAGTTGTCTCCATCCACGCACGTCCCACTGTTGTAACTGAGCAGAAAGCAAAGATCCGTGTTAGCTACCCACCTCCCAATTCGAGCCGTCAAGCATCTCGAGTGCCCACAGCACCACTGACCATCCGAGGTGGCTCTCACCCTCACTCCTCCTGCCTTGGCCTGGGGGGCTTGTATGGCAACCTTTACAAGAGCAGTCATAGCCTCATCTTTCTCCCACGAAGGGGCTGGCAGGTGCGACCCTTGGCTGACCTTGTCGTTAGCAGCCCAGCACATATCTGATGGGGCTGTCCTGGGCCATCCCAGAATTAGAGACCCTGATTCTATAGTTCCAGGTAGCAGCTCAGGCCCTGGGACTTTTAAAAGTTCCCCAGATGGTTCAAGAGTGCTATCAAGGTTGCAAGTCACCGCTGAAAAGAAGGCACTGCTCGGCCAAACAAAGCGCTCCCCACCCTCTACAGAATCTGCATCATCTGGGAGCGTTTTAGATATGCAGGGTTTTGAGAAGCCCCAGCCAAAGCTACTGAATGAGAACCTGCATTTGAAACCAGCTCCCCAGTGATTCCCGGGCTAGCCAGTCTGAAAAGTGCGGGCATCCTTACCAGGGGTGAGGACTGCAGTCGTTGGTATCTGGGGGAAAAGAGAACCAAAGAAAAATGGATTAATGAGGCCTTCAACAGGGAGGGACCGGGCGTATCAGACCTCACCCACCCCACGCTGCCTCTTCAGTGACCCTTAGGACAGAGGGTAGCTATAGGTTTCTTTCTGGGAGCAGCCAGTCTCCATCTTTCTCTGTGGAGCAGCTGATTGGCTTTAAACTGCTGACTTGGCAGTTGGCAACCCAACACTTAACCCGCGCCAGTCTCAGCCCTCAGCAACAAGCCCACTTGTGTCCGGTCACACTCAAATGATAAATCGCAGCGAGCGGCAGCAGAATCCATAGGACGCTCCAGTAAATTGGAACCAGGCTTGCGGCTGCACTTTGTTTCCCTGGCGTGGGACTCATGAGCACAGGAAGAGGCTGTGGCAGGGACGCAGGGAGGGGGTATGAGAAGGGCAGGAGACTGGCTGCTGGGGTTCGGAACCAGAGCTGGGAACCGAGGCTCCATCTGGCTCCACTTATCTCTCCACACTTTCTCATGCCCAGGTCAGGGCTGCGGCCCATCAAGTCATTAGAGCAGACCCAGGTGATGCCGAGGCAAACACCATCAAACAGCTCAGTTTCTGGTCTCAATTCAGAGTCCCTCCCCGAGGGGCTAGCAGGGGCTGCAGCAGCCCTGGGAGAGCTAAGGGGGAGGAGCACTCACTCTGAGTGCAGATGGGCCCTTCCCAGCCTTCCTTGCAGACACACGTGAAGGACTCCCCATTGACCACACAGGTGCCCCCGTTATGGCAGGGGCTGGGCAGGCAGCTACTGTTCCGGGCTGCAAGACAAGAGCAGACAAGACCACCTTCGGTGAGGACTCATGGTTTGGAGGCGCAAGAACCAGGCCCAGGAGAAGAATCACGAGCTCCAGGGAGTCGGGAGCAGACGAGCTCCGTGGCCGAGACCACTGCGAATCCCATGGTGGGGGGTGGGGGCAGGGGCAGGAAAGCTACCTATGTTACAGGTTGCTCCTTCCCAGCCTCCAGGACACATGCACTTAAAGGCATCGCCTTCATCATAGCAGGTGCCGCCATTGTTGCAGGTGGCCTCATCACACTGGCTGTCACCTGCAGAAGGAAAGGCTTGGGGTGAGCTTTCGGTTGTCCCTCCACATCCTTCCACAGTAGACAGGGTGGGAGTGGTCTCCCAAGATGGAATTCAAGGCCAACCCCACTTACGTGAGTGGCACGTCTTTCCTTTCCACCCGTTTTTACAGTCGCAGTAGAAGTCATTGACCAGGTCCCGACACGTGCCCCCATTGTGGCAGGGGTTCTGGCTGCAGTCGTTAATATCTACAGAGAGGGGAGGCACTCAGCTAAAGAAGTGGGGCCACGCTTTTCGACGGCCACATCCCAATGCCCGCTTTGGGCAGTCCCCAAGTCCCGAGAACGGACCGACAGCCCCCGGAGCGAAACACGACCGCGGCACCTTTCCAGGAGGCAAGGATTCTCCTACGAGGCTGCTTTGAATGAAGGCAAGATGGGGACAAGTCTCTGCTAACTCCCCATTGAAAGTGAAAACCAAGGCGGACAGAAATGAAAATCCCAATAGAACGAGGATGCCACTTCTGTTCAAGCAGGGACACTTTTCCTTACCACACAGTCTAAGGCTGCAGTCTAACTAGCTGTTGTCACCACCAAAAAACGTGAACGGGACAAGGCAGAGAAGCATGTGGGCTTCCTATGAATGCAGGATTAGTGCCCCCCTGCCCCACTTCCTTAGCCTCCCTGACACCCTCTCTCTCCAAAGCACCACGGACTCACTGGTCTCACAAAAGATGCCCTCCCAGCCGTCACTACAGATGCACTTGTAGGAGTTGACACCATCGATGCAGGTGCCGCCGTTGTGGCAGGGGTTGCTCTCGCAGTCGTTAATATCTGTGTGCAAGGGGGGCAGAGAGAAGGGAAGGTCAAGTAGGGCACAGGCAGGCCTTAGTGTGTTCGCAGCTACCTCCCTAGAAAACACACCGGGGCCCCACAATATTCTAAACTCCCTAAGGACCGAAAGATTCTCAAACCAGAGTGGCAGGCCTACCAGGCCAGGGCTTCCAGAGGGCCTCCTGCATTTGACCAAGCGCCCTCACACTCAATGAAACTCAGTGTGAGCTGGGAAGAAAGGCCTAGAAAAAGGGGCTGCCCTAACTCATAAGATTCCCGACCATTTCAGAACCATCCTGCTGAAGATGCAGAGGCAGTAGAGTTTGCTGGGTAAACTTAGACATGACAGCTGTCTTACAATCCCAGGTGGACCGATACGCCTTTACTGGTCTTCCCTCTCTGACACCTAACTGCCTACAGCAAAGCTCCAGGCAAATACAGGTGGGGGCACCTGTGCCCCATCCCCGGCTGGGGGTCTTACTTTCATGGCAGTACGTTCCAGTGAAGCCTTTGTTACAGTCACAGGTGAATTTGCCTCCCGACTGACTCTTGCACTTCCCGTGGGGACCACAGACGTTGGAGGAAATGTACCGCACCCCCTCGGGAGTGTCGTTGGAGGCCATGGCCACGGTGCAGCTGTCAATCACTAAAAGGCAGATGCAGGGTCAGATCGCAGCCACAACACACGGCGCTCCCCAGCCAAGCCTGCCTTCCCAGGACGCACTCCCTTCCTCTGGCCACTGATGGTGAGAGAGAAGTCAAGAGGCAGCCAAGGCCAAGCGCCTGGCTACTTGCTGCGTCCTCGGCGACGAGCAAAGTGGACACTCCAGGCTGAGGGAAAGGGTCCTTTAGAACGTACTCCTCTCCACACGCAGCCAAGCACCTCAAAGAGACCGGCCTTTCACCCTGTCTTTGCCATCTACCCATGCTGGCGGACCCTTGCTAAGGGCAATGACCATATTTTACTTCCCGAAGGGAGACCAAATCCGGGACAAGTGCTGCCCAATGCGGTAGCCACAGGCCACCTGCGGCTATTTAAGTAAGGCCTCCATCTCACTTGTACTGGGTACAATCCACAGGTTCACAACCACAGCTAGCTTCTGGCTATGGTTGGACTGGCCAGCTGGGACAGAGAACATGTCCACTGCTGCGGATGGCATGTCCTACTGGGGACAGCCCTGCTCTAAGAATTCCTCTCAGCATTGCAAATCAGCCCACCCCAGAAAAGCAACGATGAATGGCCTTCACCTTCTCTCCCCTAGGCTACTTTTAAACCGCTTCTCCCACAGTGGCACGTTGCTTCCACGTGCTTCCACATCATCTGGTTTCCCTAAGCTGTTGGGTAAGGGGCTATCTTCCCAGAGGTTTTCCTCAACTCTGAGTAGTAAGAGGTGCAGTAACAGACACGCGGGGGAAGAAAAGGGCAAGAGCCAGGCAGTACCTTCACAGGGGGTAGTGCGGCAGTGGTCTTTCAGATGTGAGCAATTTTTGCCCTCATAGTCCTCAGGACACTTGCAGAAATAGTCGCTGGCACGGTTGTAGCACTGGGCACCATTCTGGCAGGGATTGGGCTCACAGTAATCTATGTCTAACTGCAAGAACCGGGAGTAGGAAAAGGGGAGAAGAATCACAATAAAACAAAGGTGTAATTATAGCCTCTCAGGCAGCCAACACGGGGAGCTGACCCCTCCCTTCCATTTCGGTGAGTACACACCAGTAGCCAGGGGGCAGCCACAGGGGTCAGGGAAGCATTTAGGAAACATGCACAGAGTCAGAGCGAACTGGGTGGTGGGGACTGAGCAGAGCACAAAGCCAAACAAACAAAACAAAACACAGCTCAACAAGTCATCCATCTCTCTCTGCACCAGCATCTGACTAGCAGTCCTCCCTGTCAAGAGGATGTGGATAGATTTCACACCGACTCGAGGCACTGGCGTCTGGAGGGGGCAGCGGGATAGGGCGGATGGGCGGGCTCTGCGGTGAAAACGTGGCCATTCGAGGTTTCCCCAGCCACTCACCTGACAGAGGTTTCCCGAGAAACCAGTGGGGCAAAGACACTGGAATCTGTTGATTTCGTTCTGACAGTGACCCCCGTTCAAACAGGGGTGGCTGGCGCACTCATCGATGTCTCTCTCACAGTGATCGCCTGCATAGCCAGGTGGACAGATACAGCGATAACCATTAACCAAATCCTGGAGGAGAAGGAGGGGAGAAACATGCTTGTTTCCTTGCACTCCACAGAACACGGGTTTTCCAGGGGTTGGAGCAGGGGTGTGTTTTGGTCCAGCAGATTCCCTCCACCAGTGGAAAGCCAAGCCTCTGGACATGCCTTAGCAGGATGTCTGTTAGCATGCCTCCCCAGGACTCCTGGAGGCTGGGGTAACCTGAGCCCTGGTGAGCCTTGCCTGGACGCTGCGCGCCTGCATTTTCACACCTCACAGGAAGGGGGTTTTCCCAGAGCCCCATACACGTGAAGGTTTGTCTTCAATTGTCAAGAAGCTATGATTGGGGTGAAGGACTTGGGTACTTACCCGACAAGAGGCGTCATTTTGACACTGGCCCAGGCAGTCATTAATATCTGAAAAATAAACAAGGCATCCCATTAAGGAGGCAATTTACATTGAAATTTGGGTCTAATTGAAAAAATCTCCTCCGCTCACGACAGATAAGGGCTTCTAAATCAGATTTCCTGCATGCTTCCCTGAGATAAGGTTGTTCCCCTGGGTGGGAACCTCCCCAACTCTCCCAGACTGAGCCGTGAAGCTTCACATCATTGTTTCAGCCCATCTTATCAGAATGTGGCCATTACCAACTAATGAGCCCGATAAAGCCTATGTTTTCATTTCTGACCACTCCCTCTCGGAAAAACAGCCCCCTGTAGAGAGTGCTTGCTAGCACCCAAGTCTGAGCTGCCGCGCCCCCCACCCCACCACCACCACTCTGCCTTGAATGGCAGACACTGCCACCACCCAAGTTTTCGTGAAATGCAAAAATCGAAACAAAGTCACTCACTGATGTCACAATTCTGTCCTGTCCAGCCGGGGAGACAATCACAGTAGTAGCTCCCAATCAGGTTCTTACAGGACTTGGCATTTACACAAGGTTTGGCCTCACATTCATTTGCATCTGAAAGAAGACAAGGATGAGCAAGGAGAGAGCTCGGTTCTGCCCCCTCCCCTCCCCCAAAGGCCACATACCAGTGAAATATGAGCCATTTCCATAAAAGAACTAGAGAAGAGCTATTAGCTTGGCTCTGTTTTGAGTATCTGAGCCTGGCTGTTTATTATCCAGTAAGTAATGCTCTCTCGTGGGCTCTGGCTGCCGGTTAACAAACAGTTCCCCCAAAAGAACAGAAAGGCGCTAGGCATCTCTGCACGAGCCAGTCTAGTTGCTGGGGTTTAAATATGGCTAAAAGAATGCAGACGGCTCATTCCTCATGAGATCATCCACGATTTGGAATCCAGCTGAACACTCCTCAGAGGGACGATTGACATGGTTCACGGAATCCAGTGACTTTCCCACAGGGCCTAAAAGGGCCAGGCCATTTGCATTCAAGGCTTTCTCCCAGGCCCGAGGTTCCGGATAACAAATGATGCTTAGTGCCAGGGGGTACACGCTCATCCTCCTGAGCAGCTGAGGCTGTCAAGGCCCCCCTCCGCACAGGAGTGAGAGTTGCGGGAATGTTCTCACCTATCTGGCAGGTCTTGCCAGTCCACTGCGGTGGACACACACACTTAAATCCATTCACCAAGTCCTGGCAGGTCCCCCCGTGGGAACAATTGTTTGGAGAACAGTCATCAATGTCTGTTTAACAAAATGGGAAGGGCACTGGTCATTTCACTTCCAGCCATATGACAATCACACTAACTGGCACCCCGAGCAAGAGGCCTGGTGGAAACTACGGGCTGCTCCGTGGTAGAAGGATGAGGTTTTTCTACTGCTGTAGAGCGACAGTCTTGGAAACCCACATGGGCAGTTCTACCGCGGCCTATGGTGTCGCTATGAGTTGGCATCAAATCCACAGCAATGAGTGAGCGAGAACACCCCTCATGTGGGGTCCATCTCACTTACAAGCCAGGGACTTGCTACAAAGTAAAGCTCCAGACGAACAAAGGAGGGTGAGTGGGGTGAGGCAGGCCGGAAACCTTTATTTTCCCCTTCAATCCTCCACTGCCCCAGGTTCATTTAATCCTTGACCCAAGCAGTGGAGGCGGCTGCCCACAGGCACAGGCTGGGTGGGGAGGCGGCTGGACATCACTGATCATCAACTGTGCAGTAGTAGTGAGAAAGGATGGGCCGATCTCCTGGACCTGCCTTGTCCTTTATTTTCAAACAAGAGGTCCGTGACTCAGAGGTGGCTAAGAAAAAGTTCTTTTCACAGATGTAAGCCCCATGCCAATTCTACAAAACCACCACAACAGACCCAAATGTGCTGCTGTCCCCCGGGGTGATTCCAACTCAGAAAGCGCATCTAGGACAGAGCCACTGCTTAACCCACCAGGCCACCAGGGCTCTCTCTGCTTCCACACAAAACTAGTGGAAACAAAACCAGGAAAGCAAACAGCTTTCGAGTGGATTTGAACCCACAGCAACTGTGCATGTGTCAGAGTACATCGGTACTCCCTAGGGTTTTTAATGGTGGCCTGAGTTACTTTGGGGGGGCAACTAGATCACCACGCCTTTCTTCTGAGGGGCTCCTAGGTGGATGCAAGCCTCTAACTTATCAGCTAACAGATGAGTGTGTTAACTGTTCATACCACCCAGGGACTCTTATCCTGAATGACAGAGGCCTCTTAAACTCATTCACCGGGCTCTTGGGGCTGGCTGGGCTCCTCCATGAATGTACCCGCTTAGGCTCTAGGACAACCAGAGGGAGCAGTGTTACTAGGCTAGGAAGTCAGGGCACAGAGAGGCTCGGTAGCCTGCCACAGGCCTGCCAAGTGAAGGAGCTGGGTCGGAAACCAAGTTCTTTAGTCCCTCACGTGTGGTCAGTTCTTGGGATGCCGCAGAACCTTAGTTCTCAGGCTAGGCTGTACCTGATAGTGCCACAGCTTGGTGAACAAAGCCCTGGGCATGGTGGTTGGTCAGAGAGCGGTTGCGAGCCCAGGGGGAAAAAGAACCACCTTGATGAGATGGAAAGACACAGGAGCTCCAACAATGGGCTCAAGCATAATTGTGAGGATGGCACAAAAGGTGTTTTGTCCTATTGCACATAAAGTTGCTTAGAGTCCAAACTGATTCCATGGCACCTAACAACAGCAACAACAACAGTAAACAATAGGATTCAGGGTGGGAACTGAGGGGCCATGGCACATGGACTTAAGGCCCTTCAGGGCGTTCTGATGCATGAAGGGGCTCTAAAAAGTTCCTGGGGAAAATGGAGTTTTCATATAAACGTTTCTTAGCTTCCTTGTAAACAGGTTTCATTCACCGCCTTGGCAACAGCACAGCCTTGATAGATACACCTGCAGGTTCTTCCTTCTGGGCCACTGGGGAGGTCAGCAGTGACAACCTCCCCTGCAGCTCGAGGAGAACCATGAACCAGATGAACACTCTGAGCAGGGCACGCAAAGGCACACACCACCCATGAATTAACCCCACGAACCGACGTGCAAGCCTAGTGCTGTGTCTCCGAGCGGCACTGGCACAGTTAATGAGCTTAAAAGGTTAGGGTTCCAATCCACCCCAAGGGGCTTGGGAAGACAAGGCCCAGGAAGCCACTTTGGAGAGGGGACGGGTCTGCTGAGAATCAGAGCTGTGGGCATGCTTCCTGAGGATGGTGGAGTGGGAGCGCTCGGATGCAGAAAGTCAGAAACTCAAGCCACCAGCCTCTTCACCTTCTTCCCACTGAGAAGACGCTTCACTGAGACATTCTCGAGGGACCATAAGCCCAAGTCTAGTCCGTCCCGTCCCATTCCCTCTGCCCCCGCCCCCCCGCCCCCCCAGCCTCGGGCCACAGATCCAACTTACTGGTGGAGCACGTGGGGCCGGTCCAGCCTGGAGAGCACCCACACTCAAACCCCAGGGAGGTCTCCTTGCAGCTGCCTCCATTGTGGCAGGGGTCCGAGAGGCAGGCATGCTCCGCTGCAAAATCAGGATGTCAGTCCGAGGTCCGTCGGCAGGAGATGCATTCTGAGCTACCCACCCCTTTCCCCCCAATCCCACACTCGGCAACCACCGCAGGCATGTTTCAAAAATACAGCCTGAGACAAGGCACTGCTCAAAGCGCTGAGGGCTGAAAGGAAGTCATCTTTCTTGCTCAGCTGTCTCCAGCCACATTCTAAACCTTCTCGGAGCTGGGGCTGTTTCCACTGCATTCTGACTCCCACACTAATCAATCTGATCAAAATAGCCAGAGGGCCTCATGGGGGAGGAGGTTTCCAGGCCCCCAGCCCCACCCCGCTGTCCCTAGAGTTGCTGGAATAGCTAGTCGGAATTGTGGAGGACAATCTCATGTTTTTACGAGTACTTAAGCATTTTTGCTTCAGTATACCGAAAAGTTAAAACAGAGGGATCCCACAGAGCCTGGACCACTTACCAATTTCACAGTTGGGTCCCGAATATCCTTCAGGGCAAGAACACTGATACTTGTCAGGACCTGTGTTGCTACAAGTGCCTCCATTGAGACACGGCTGATGAGTCCCACAGTAATTGAGATCTGTCAAAAAAGAGTCCGTTGTCAATGACTGATTCTAAAAACTCCCAAACCCATTACACACTTGTTCCCAAAGCCAACTCCGCTTTTAAAATGAAAACAGAGCAATACAGGAAAGCCACCACATGAAAACTAAATTGAGATACATTCAGACTTGAAGACATGTCCGCCCCCCATCCCCCACATCCACACAAGTTCCCACCATCCTCGTGCCCCTTCTGGAGGCCCCAATCCCCGCCGGCCTACGTCTTCCTCCCTGGTGGGCGCGCACCTTTGTCACAGAGCTGGCCACCCCAGTTGGTCTCACAGAGGCACTGCCAGGGCTCGTTACAGGTGCCGTGGACACAGCCCGGGTGTGGGATGCACTTGTCACAGTACAGGCCCTGCCAGCCGTACTGGCACCTAGAGAGAGAGACAGGGTCCATGAGCAGCCGGAGCAGGGGGGAGACGCGCTCAGTGTGGAGTGGAGAAGAGAGCGATGTGGGGACTTCGTTTTGTTTGGCTTTGGTGGCAGCAGGCTAAACAGGCCAGGTCTGTCTGGGGATCCTGGTAAACAAACATTTAACAGTTGGGTCATGGGCTCCTCCTGCTGACTGCTGACCAAAGGAGGCTGTTTGGGAGAGGCGCTTCCCCTTCACAGAGCCATCTCTTTGGGGGCTCACACAAACAAGACCAAGGTGGGGACAGGCGGGGGGGGGGTGCACACGCAGAAATCAATCAAGCTTGGGACTTTGTCCACAGACTACGGAGGAAGAGGAACGGGCTGGCTCTCTCTCTGGGGACAGTGGTCCTGTGAAACTGCGGAGGCCCATTTGCAGCCATTTTACCCTGCAGTTTGGCTGCCCCTTTGTCTCAACAGCAAGTCATGACCCCAGCACACAAAAATGCAACAAGACACCAAGGGCCTGAGGAAACTGCGTGTGCGTGTGCATGCGTCCGTCCACTGGGTGCTACTGCTCAGCAAGCCAAACAAACCAGGAGGCATAGGGACACCCAGACAAGGGGAGACTAAACCATTTCTGCAGGGAGGGGTCAGGGAAGCGAACGCCCTTGGAACCAATTCAGAAGATAATTTATGACCCATTACTGCTGATGTCTATGCTAATTTTTTTATAGTTAGTTCTCGCCTCACCTTCAAAAAAAAGGGTCAGCTAAGTTTATCTGGGGTGACAGAAGGGAGTTGACGTTCCTTTATAAGTGCCTTATTAATCAGACTCCATGGGAGCCAAACGGTGTCTGATTCCCAAACGAAAGCAAACATAAACCTTCACCTGGGCTGGAAGAAAGGGCAGGGTCTCAAACTGGCCCCTCACCCCATACTATTTCACGCCCTCAAACTTGAACCACCTTCTCAAAAATCAAGTCTTAAAAGGCGACTGGGAGGCCGAGGGAGACCTACCAACACTATCGCTATGCATGCAGGCTGACGAGTGAGGAGCGGGGTGAACACAACGGTTTCCAGGACAGGACCTGGGAAAAGTCACCATCAGAAGCAACCACCGCCCTCAGTTGCTCAGCTGGAAAACCAGCCCCCCACCCCCACCCCCCTACCGACAGCAAGGCAATAGAGAGCTGGACTCAGGGAGCCAATCCTTGTCATGGGAAAATTATAGGGATCTAGCTAATAGCTAATCACCCAGGCTGAGAATCAACTTAACCCCTGAGAATACCGACTAACCACTTCCTAACGTCTAAAAGCAAGCCTTCCACACCCAGGCACACAGATCCTGCAGAATATCTGGTTTCGGATGAAATCACACTGTGTACATAAAACATTCACATTGCTCTAAATGGCAAGTGGCTCTTTAAAGGAAGAGAACCAAGAGGGGAAATAAACCTGGGCGAAAACTTGGAAGGATTAAAAAAGCCCAGAAGATCCACGTTAGGGGGAGGTGAGTAGACTTGTTCTGTCAAGATTCAGTCTCAGCTGGAGAGATCATCAGAGGGAACCAATTTGGGGGAGAAAAAGCAATATCCTCGCTGGCTTCCCTTATTCCCTTCCAAATTAAGGGCAGAGAGACCTCTTCAATTTGCCTAATAAAAGCAGGGAGAGGCAGCTGAGGACCCAACCTCACCTCCTAATTAATGAGAGCTCAATCCCCAAGCTTAAAAAAAGGAACCACAAGAGGCTGGCCGTGGATGACTTCAAAAGAAAACAAATAAAAATACTGACCCTGAACCAGGCACCCACACCAAGTTATCCAGTGTAATAATATATGATTAAGGTTCTCACGAGAAATTGAAGTGACTCTCCCCATGTGATGATTCATAATTAAGTTTGATGTTATTGGCAGGCTGGCAATAAAGTGCACCCAGGAAAGGCTGCCTGTGCCTGCTTGGGAACAACAAAACCAATGGACTGGCCCAACATTAAAAAAAATAAAATTAAATTAATACATAATCCCAAAGACAACTTACAGGTAACTTGCCATTCAACTATTTGTGGCGCAGGACACACCCTGAACTTCCTTAACTAGAAGGTTCCGTTTTGACTTTCTTTCAAGGTCTGAAGAACCAAATGGGCTGGAAGGCTATGCAAATGGCGTGTGGGAAAGTCGCATCTTAAGTAAACAAGGGCACCCGTGCGTGTCTGGGCAGGGAGTGGGAGGTGAGACTTCGGAAGAGAAAGGGCTCAATGCTGGAAACAAAGCCTGTTGTTGTGGCTGGGAGGGCCCCCCCCCCTGCCAGGCAGTGTGTGTATTCTGATGAGGGCAGCACAATCCCGGTCAGCCTCTGCTGATACTCATCTGAGTGCAGAGCGAGCAGCTCAGAGTCACTAATAGCACCTCAGATCTGACTTTCCCCAGCACACCCTTCATTAGGAAGAGTTAATGGAGATGGAGTCCGGCTCAACCTTTGACAGCTGCGCTGTTAAATACCCCAGTCTGCTCCCCTCCTATGGGGCGGGCAAGGATTCCAACCAGCGGGGCACTTACTCCCCCTCAGCCTTGCGCGTGAACACACACCAAACACCGTCTTTATGATGGGTAACCAGACCGTTTCAGGACAGCCTACTTTCCACTTCCCAGTTTAGCTGCACGCCTCAGTGGTCGGTGTTCACCTTGCAGATGAGGCGAATCGAGAGGCTGGTGAATGCTTAAGGTAAAGCCTACAGGTGACAATTCTCCCTGAGAGAGCCGTCATCATTGACTGAGCAGCAAAATCTGTCAGGCAAGCTTGGTGCCCTGCAGGCTCCTGGGCCATCCAAGAGGGGGACTAGCAATCTGTGGGTGGGGAAGGGAGCCGAAGAACCTGCATTTGAAGAGTTCTCAGCGTAATTTTGGGTATGACAAGCTGGGTTTGGAGCAATGTTTCCCCAAAGCAACATCAGCATGACTTAGGCAGAAATGCAGAGAACTGCACTTAAACCCAGACTTAGGGGCTTAAGCAGGATCTTCATTTTAACAAGAGCCTCAGGTAATGCTCGGTTTGAATCCCACTGGTTTCAACTCACAAACTTTCCTTACACTCAAAACCAGAGTGAGTTTTGGGGCAAAAGTGGCAGACTCAAAGGATCCATGTAGTGTCGTATTACATTGCCTAATCCTGAACCCTTGGAGCTGGGGGGGGCGGGCGGGCAAGAGTGTGAGATTATGCCAAAATCCCACAGACATCAGCAACGTTTTCTATGAAATGCATATTTCAAAAAGTTCCCCAAACAGTCATCATGAAGTGGTGGGATGGAGTATATCTGTGTGTGTGTGTGTTGGGATGGAGTGTGTGTGTGTGTGTCTCGCGGCAGGGGGAGGCGAGGGTCTCTGTTTGGCTTCTGCTTTGTCCTGGACCATAAAAGAACTGACTTCAAAGGCGAGCAGCAAAAGTCTACATTCATCAGGCTCCACTGACAAGATTCCAGTGCAGCCATTAGCCCCTCAGCACTGGCCCAGCTTCCGACTGCAAAGGGGCCAGGAGATTGTACTAATCCCATTCTAAAGAATGCTAGACTCTCGCTACTGATGGGAAAAGTGGGGGAGGGCAGGCCCAGGAAAAACCAGGCAAGGGAGGAGAAACTCCAGGAAACATGCCCACAGCCTTCCATCTAGTCCATTAGCACTGTAAGCTGAAGATTAGAAAAACGTGTTATCAATTTACAGAACAGTTAATACATGAAATCACTGACGATACCCATAAGAGGTCTTTTTTTTCTTCCAAGAGAATAGTGTGTGCATTCCATCAGACAGCTGGGATAATTTAATAAGCTTCGGATATGACTATTTGATTTTTTTTTTTAAAGCGTCCTTGCCCTCTAAAGAAGCATTTTCACAATGGAAGTCAATCCCACACTTGCATGAAAGGGAAAACATCTTTTAAAATGAAACCAACAAATCAACATTGTGTACCTGCAGTCACCGGGGAGTTTGCAGGACCCATGCTTGGGACTACAGCCCTGCCGGCAAATAGCTGTTTAACAAAAAAACAAAAACAGAAGGATACATTAGGATTCTGCCTCTTTCATGAGAAAGTCCTAGTACTTTAAGCCTACAAAATCCACAATTTTAAAAGGTCTCATATCCAGTCCATTGTAAGGAAGGAAGATGGGAGGTGACCAGATGACAAACCCAGCTTTCAACTTCAAGGCCACGGTTAGCAGATCCTCAGAATGCGATCTGGTTTGGGGATAAAATGCATGCAAGTTGATGGAGGGATGGGGCCTTCATCCAGCTTCTCTAAACAATAGGTACCCTGGCTCCCTTAGAGATACCCTGTCATTTCCCTCCCAGCCACACAGCTACTCTCATAGGGAGAAAAGGGTAATCCTGCCCTTTGCCACCCAAGCGGTCCCATCAGGTGTACACTCAGCCTCTGTAGTATCCCTGCCCAAACCAAATGCCTGGTCTCAAAGCCAACCAAGGAGGCTGGTTTCCTTTGTTTGGCCAACGGAGCGCCCAGGCCCGGTAATGGTGCATTTGAGAAATGGCTACACAGAGCAATAGTGCTTTCATTTTTTTTTTTTTAATGGGACATTGAAATTACTAAACATTTGCCAGTGTAACACCAATGACTTGAAATACATTGAACTTATTAAGTTAGCTTTTGGTTTGTATTTTAGAAATGCCTATTCAATGTTTCTCCAGTTACGAAATGAAGCACAATTGCCCAGAAGAACGGCAAACCCTTTCATCCCTTCCCCGTCCTCAGTTACATTGTAAAACAATTTCATTTCTTAATTTGAGTTTCTTTTGAAGAAACTGACCTAATTACATGAAATTAGCAGAATTAACGCTGGTGTTCATTAAAAACAAATCCAGTGTCATCAAATCAACTCTGACTCATAGTGATCCCATACAGGAGTTCTGGGACTCTAAATTTCTATGGGAGCAGACAGCCTCAACTTCTTCCTTTGGAGCAGCTAATGGGTTTGATCTATTCTTGTTAGCAAGCAGCTCGGCGTCCAGCCCATAGTACCAGTGTTCGGGAGGAGTTAACCAGTCTCACACGTGAGAACTCAAAAACCGAACTCATTGCCATGAGTCAACTCCAACTAGTAGTGACCTGTAGGAAAGGGCAGAACTACCCCCGTGTGCGTCTCTGAGACTGTCACTCGTTACGGCAGTAGAAAGCCTCATCTTTCTCCTTCAGAGGCGCTGGTGGTTTCGAACTGCTGACCTTGCTGTCAGCAGCCCAACACATAATTACTATGCCACCAGGGCTCCTTTGATCACTATCACTGGTGAAGTCACCATGAATAGGGCCCACTGGATTCTAGGAGGAGGGCTGGGTAAGCAGACAACTCCTCTGAAAGTTTATCTACTTTCTATCCCCATCATCAGCTACCCCTCCCCCCACCCCAAGACCCCCAAAGATGTCCTGCTAAAGCTCAGAAGCTGTCCTTTCCCAAAGGTCAGCCTGTTTGAACTTGAGTGGCGAACCCTGTCCCATTTGGCATCTGCTTTAGGTCAAGCTGCTTACAAGTCGAGCTCTGAAGGGAACTTGGGCCCATGGGTTGAGAGTGTAGGGAAAGAGGCAGATGGGGCAGAAGCAGCAGCTGAGCAAGGCTGGGGGTGGTAGTGGGGGCTCCTCTGGAGTCTGGCTCCGCCTGGTAAGGTGGCAACTCTGGAGAGTAAATGGCCCACCAAGTAAGGGCAAGGAGGTGGAGGCAGAGGTCTCCAAGCAGCTCCTGTTTGAGTCAAGAGGAGCCCATGCAGTTTGTTCAGATGGCCCTCGATGCAAGAAACTGGGTGAGGGTGCACCTTCCAGGTAAGAGGCAACTGCATGGGGCACCAGTGGCTCCTGTACATTTGGCATGGCAGGCTTCAGGTTAAGATAACAGCCAAAATACCGTCTGACCACTGATGAGGTGAGAATTCCTGGCACCAGCCTACAGAATTTGGGGCAGGGTAACCCACCACAGTGCGCACCCCTACATGCACGAGCACACACTCTGCACACACCTTGGTTACATTCCGGCCCCTTCCAGCCTTCCATACAAGTTTTGTTGCCATTCTGGTCACAGGCATAATGTCCAAAGAAGTCATCTCTGGGCCGGCAGAACTTATTGCAGCCGAAGCCATAGTAGTAATCGTCACAGGCCACTCGGATCTGATACTCAAAGTGGGCTACCCCCGTGTTGTGCTTCAGCGTCTGCCACTGCCGGCTGGGGTTGATCATGCCCGAATGAGAAGCCTTTTCAATAATGCTGTCAGGTTCTGGAGGCAAAAACAAAAACAAATGCCAAACTTAACCACATTCACAATGGAGCCTCCCCCAGCTTCCCGACCAGTTTGGCTATTTTAAAATAAAAACCATGCACACATAATACAAAATTTAAAAAGCACGAAGCGGGCAGAAAAGGAACATTTGTTCTCGCCCCCACCCCCACCCCCTAAGAGGAAACCACTGATACCATTGATCTATCTACCTTCTAACGAGCACGGTGCAGTAAAAGCTACAAGTACCGCAACTCCGCAGGGCTACCTGGTTTTTCTGGATAGTGTATGTTTCCTGCCTTTGACAGGGTACAGTCTGGTCACTCTTCACTTGCCTCGTTTGGTGGAAACTATTCTTCTCCGACAGGTTTCTGCTTCACGCAGGTTCCCACTATTGGGGGGGGGGGGGGTGCATTGTCTGGAAGGGCTATGAAAGCATTTGTCCAATTCCTGAAATGTGTGCATTCGGGTTGTTTGGGGCCTTTCATTAAGCAAAGTCACAGTAAACACCCTTGAACACATTTGCCCATGGGTGTGGTTCTAGCAGAAGGAACGTTTCCTAGAAGGGGAAGTGTTGAATCGGAGTGTGTGCACACCAAGCCTCTTCTGGGAGCAGACATTCCCAAACTACCCACCAGTGGAGCCCTGTCATCCGTCTTCCCACCAGCAGCGGAAACTGCGTTTCCAACTGCAGTGCCAAACACTGCCCTGTCAAACCTGCTGATCTTCATCCGATAGGGAAAGTGGTATCTCCTGTTTTAATTAGCACTTAATTGAGTGATGTTGAGTAGTCATTCATGTGTTTACAAAACCGTCTATGTTTTCTTGTCAAGTGCAACCTGTTCCTCTCCTTTCTGTTTTGTTATTCCTTACTGCTTTGCAAATGCTCTTTATATATGATAAAAGGCTGCTCTTGAAGAAATGAAACTAGTCCACATAAAAGTTACCGATCTCCACCACCCCCCCTTTCTGGTGTAAGAGCTTTCATGTTTTGCTTAGAAAAGCTTTGTCTGCTTCAAAGTTATTCTAGTCATCTATAGTAAACCAGAAGAGATTAATGTCCTGTAATTCCATTGGGCTATTTTGTTTTTAAATTGCGAACGTCTTGACACTTTAGACTGGAATGTAAATAGCGAGCAACACCATGGGTTTGTACACTGCCCCTGGAGCCAGAGGCAGATGGTGGAAGAATCCACCTCAGTGTAGAGACAGGTAGACTGAGCGGTTGTTTTTGAGCCAAGCCATGACCCAGCAGAGGAAAAGACACGCCTGGGGCTCACGTCGCTCATAAGAAGAGGTAAGAAGTGGTCCCTGCCCTGAGGTCACCCATAATCTAGTCTGAGAAAAGAGACAGGGACAAAAATAGCTCCAAACACCAGGTGCCAGAAGTTCAGAGGAGGGACATGAAAAGGCGGTAACACACTAAGTCAGCACCCCAGCCTGGTTTTGTGTTTGTTTTCTTAAACCTGCCAGCACCAACCTTCACCACCTTGTCAAATTCAAGGCCACCTTGGAGAGACAGCACGAGGCCCTACTTTCTATGTCTTTGTGATTCTTACCCACCCACACCCCTGTTTTTCTAGGCCCTGGGCCTATGCTCACTCACATGGCTATGCAAACCCGTAGGTGACCAGGGCAGGAGGAAACTCCTGGGCGGCTTCACGTACACACGGCTCCTTTCCTTGCGGGGCGGGGGTGGGGGTGGGGGGCTGTGTGAGTGCACACCCCTCTCAGTTTAATTGTTGTGTGGGCAATACAAGCCTTCAACAAGCCCACGTACCCGCAGCCTTACACCATAGTGCCTACAGAAGCGCTTGGAGATAACATTTTTACAAACTTAAGTTTGGCAAATAAACACAGGCCAAGGAATGTCAAAAATGTCCTTCCATTAAATGTGTTTGCTCTGCCAGTTCAATGAAGAAGAGTAGTGGGTTATTATTACCATGTGGTTTTGAGAGAGGCACCATGCCTCTTGATATCTTAATAAAGAAATTATTTAAACACACTAGCCATGGCACAAAGGCTTCCAGCTCTCAGGCAGTACCAACATCAAACAAGTCAGCAGAGTCCCGAACAACCCAATGGTGCAGGCTGGCCATTTCATGTTCAGGAACAGAGTACACGAAATCCAATAGAAATGACCACGTCTCAGCATCCTCACTGGAGCTAATGGAGGGCAGGGCAAACCATCTCACAGCCGCACCCACTACCGAAGTTTTCTTCACCGAATCTAAGCAGGGCGTTCAGAGTCTGAAGTGCTGTCAGGGATCGAGCTAGTGGGACAGAACAGGGTTTGCTGCCTGCTCCTAGCAGATAAACCACAGTGCTTATTAAGCTTGGGAACGAGCCCCCGTGGCACATTTAAGTGCTCAACTGCGAACCGAGGGGTTTCAGCCCATCAGTTGCTCTGCAGGGACGAGACTACAGCTTACAAACCCCAGAGGGCAGTTCTACTCTGTCCTACAGTGTCACAGAGTCGAAATCAAGTCAGAGGGAATATAAACAGTCAGCTCGAGACAGACCCACATATTTAGATACATAGATGAAGGGGGAGTCAAAAAAGTATTGCTGTAACATCAGACATACCTTTACGCGAAGCTATTTGTTGTTTTCCACCTAGGTCCTCACACTTCTTAAACTGGTACTTTCCATCTCTCTAGCCCTTCCCCCTAAAGAGGTGTGTGCTCTTTGATGGATAGATACCATATTAAGACAGCACTTTGGGCATCTTTAAATGTTGAGAGTGGGGAATAACTGGAAGACTGGAGAGGCTTCCCAACAAAATTCATAGAACAGCATTTGCTACCCTCAAAGAGTGACGAGTGCATTATGTTATGAAAAAAACAGAATTTCTCAGCATTAACTTCCCCGGTCTTTTTCACATCAAAAAGCAGTTGTCAATGGTATTAAAAGTTCTTCATAAGCTACCATGATCTTTGGGCCCGTGTCCTCTGAGAAAATTATCAAATTATCTCCCTGGATTCCCCCCCAAAAGGGGTGACATAACTTTCTGAGCTGACCTCTCTACCCTGAATTTAACCAGCCCAGCAGGTCCCCTTCAAACTGAAAGCCATTGTTTTGACCGAGCATTTTTTGTAGGCACCTTAACGAGACTAAGACAAATGTATTACTGCAAGCGCTTGTCTGCAGTTATCCACTGATCAGAACCGCTTAAGCACATTCTGTTCAGGGTAAGTCCATGAATAGATGAACGAGAATCCCAGGAGCGATACTTTGACTTATCTTCATACACACACCCCAACTCAGACGTTGGGGGTGGTTCATTTTGTAGTCCAGGCTTATAATTAGAAAAGGGTCTTACCCCTCTCCCTGAAATCTTCAACTGTAAGAGGAACAAAAGACCAAGCTCCCAAAACATCCTTGCAGCCTACGGAGGGGGCAATTGAGGGGCGAGTGAGTGAAATCCCGAGACCACACCGTCACCAGCAAACAGACCAAAGCTTTCGCCAGGACGATTAGGCTGTAAGGACACCTGGCCTCCAGAATCCTGTGATGAGATTTTCATTAATCAGCTCAAGAAAGAGAAACCATTGCTCTAGGTGACAAAGGAACATTTTGACCTCAAATATTCTCAAAAACCAAATGACATTCACTGCCAGGATGTTGATTCTGAGTGCAGGGCAGAGTCGAACTGTCCCTTCTGGGATCTCAACGCTGTAAATCTTCATGAGGGCAGAAAGCCTCATCTTCCTCCCACAGCACAGCTGGTGGGTTCTAATTGCTGACCTTGCAGTCAGCAGGCCAGTGAAGAGCCCACTAGGCCACCCCGTCTCCAACTTAACATAAAAGAGGTCATGAAACGCAACAGAAATGACTTCTGAGGATGGACAACAGGAAGGTCGGTCTTAGAAAAACAGTTTCTGACAGATGAGCGGCACCACTGGGGAAAGGCTCTGTGCATGAGAGTTCATTCCAAAGTTAACAAATGGAATTCTCCATCCCCAAACTCATGATCTGCCTCTAGTTTACACCTGAAGGCAGCTTGCTTCGGGGCCCAAAGGGCAGCTGATTGACTCCATTAGGATTCCTACACATGCTCAACTTCTGCCGCTAGTTGGGATGGGCAGAGGATGAAGAGGGTAGGAGCCAAACATTCCCCTCTGAGCAAACAGCACGTGCCCAGGCCTTGCGTTAGGAGAGGACACAGGGCTTATGGAGAGTGAGAGGTGGGCTTATGGAGAGTGAGAGGTGACTCTTTGTCTCAGACGCAGGTAGATGCCACCCGCAACAACATGGGTTGCAAGAGGAAGCTGGCTGGGCTGTGCAGGGCCTTGGCCACACAAAATCTGACCCAAGAGCAATAGAAGGCCACCAACTGTTTTATATGTAGGAAAAGTATCGAATGTTACAGATGCAGAGGGAAAAAAAGACACTGACCAAGAATGGACAAAGTGCTGAAGGCGGACCAGGGTAGTACGGGTGGACCAGTTAGACAGCTACTGTAAGAGCCTAGGCACGAGTAGGTGGGGACTTGGACCAGGGTGTGGGCAGGGAAGATGAGAGCAACAGAAACGGAGTGAAGAAACGGAGAAGAAGATTTTCAGGATGTGGAGAAGGACTGTATGCAGATGCCGCGAGAGGGAGCTCGCCTGGGTACCTTCCAGATTTCGGACAGCACCGGGTGTTCCAGTGTGGGTGCTGGTCTCCAGAGAGAACTTTTTGGAAGGAGTGTGCTGGGGGGGAGGAAACACCCCCATGTTTCGTTTGGACGGGCCAAATCGGAGGTTCTTCAGAAGAAAGCGGCAAAGAGAAAAGCCATTCCAGAAAGTTCACAAATGCCTCAACTGGGTTAAATATGGTTGCAATTACTCACAATGGACATTACACGGCTCTGCATCCCCTTTCTTCCCTAGTAGAGGTCTGGAAGCACTTTATTCCTCCCCGACAGCCTTTTGTTGTCCCCTTCAACTATTCAGTTACCTCCCAGCAAGAAGTAGGGTGGCTCTGTCCACCCGCAAACCACACTCACTGCCGTCATGGAGTTGAACTCTGACTCAACAACTCGACAGGACAGAGTAGAACTGCCCCACAGAGGCCTTCCGAAGCGTTACTCTTCACGGAAGTGTCCTGCAATGTCTTCTACCTGCTGAGTGCCCATGGACTTGACCTGCCACCCTGTCAGGTAGCAGCTGAGTGTTTAACCACTGGGCCACCGGGCTTCCTGACAGTAGAACCGCCCCCCACCCCCGTAGCATTTCCAAGGCATTTATGGAAGGCGGCTGCTGCCTCTTTCTCCTGCAGGGTGGCCGGAGGGTATGAATCACTGACTTGGTTAGAAGCCAAGTGCTCAACTAGGGTTCCACCAGGAGCCCAGAGCCTCAAAGGGTAGACATCCATAGGCTGCTCACAAACCCCAATGGAGCCTAGTTGCTCCATGACGAAAGAAAAGATCGGTGTCTGAATCCATGAGTGACTCTGCAGGAGAGATGTGGCCCAGTCTGCTTCCGGAAAGATGATGGCTTTGACAACCACCTGGGAGCCGTTCTCCTCTGACCTACAGGGTTGTTGCTGTGAGTTGGAATTGACTCAACCATCAAGAGTTTGGTTTGGGTTTGGCCAATAGCCCCAGCTCTCCGTCCTGTCTCCCAGGCAGTTTCAACTTCTCCAGGGGTTCATCTTCCTGACCTGTGGGATACGGGTACCCCAGGAGTGGCCATGCAGAGCCAGGAGCCCCCAATACACCTTGCAAAAAAGTATCCCCTCCCCAAACTCGTACCACAGAACTTGGGTCACAGATGGATTGCTTTAACATCCAAAAGGGAGAGACAGGAGTAAACCACACCTGTAAAAGCAGCAAAATAATTTGACCAGCTGACTTCTGCCCACCCGCTTTCCTCTTCCTAATGCTCAGACCACCACCATTCTGGGTCATGGTGACATTAATGCTCCATGGTCCCCAGCGTGTGTGCAGTGGAGGGAGGGCAAACAGGTGTCTCTAAGTTTGCCGAACATCAGATGTATCAAGACTGGCAACTCCTCTTTTACCACTTTTCTCCATGGGCCCTAATGGGACAGAGATTGCCCCAGGGATGGAGGTTCAGGCTCTGGGCTGTCACAGTACCCCCTCTCACTGTCCCACCCATGAAGATCTGGACTCAAAATGCCAAAACAAGAGCTGTGTCCAATGTGCTGAGAGACTGTACTCAACAGGGCTCAGCAGTGACTTAATGGCCTGCAGTGACAACAGCCCAATGGCCCAGCCATGGTCCACTCTCACTCCATGCCCATCACGGAAACTCACCACGCTGAGACCTAGCTTGGGAAGGAGGTGGTGTCTTCTGAGTGGTGACCACACAAAGGACAGGTGGGCGAGGCAGGGGAAAGGAAGACTAAAGAGCAACAGCAAACATCTGGGTTTGCTCACCTTTCCACACACAGACACCATGCCATCTCCATTCGGATCAACTTGCCCAATGACTACTTTTCCAAGACCCTGCCCAGCAGGGAGGGAACTGAAGAGTTTTTAGCTAATGAGGGAAAACTCCTGCCCACCCCTCCTCTTCAGTTCCAACTTAAATAGCAAGATTACCTTAGAAGGCAGGTTGTGACCATTTCGATGCACACCCCTCTGTGCGCCCCCCACTAAAAGCCACCTTGGCAGTTCTGAAAAGCAACCTGGGCTGCAGACAGAACAGAGGGGGACCAGGCAAAGGTGGTGAAGCTTTGGAATTCAGCTTCAATGGGAGGCTTGTCGTGTGCAGTGTGGGAAACCTGGGCAGGCTTGGAGCTCACCTGCCCACAAAGTGAAATTCAAGGTCGTTCTTTAGAACCCAGTGCCACCTTTAAGAGCTTTATCTTTCTGATGAGAGATTAAACGCTCACTTAAAGTTTAAATGGACTTTTAAAAAGTCACTACTTTGATCCTTCAGCAGCCTACAAGGTTTTAAAGTTGTAAAACCATTAAGATCTCTATCCCAAAGATAATCTCAGTCCCATATTCAGGGACTGAATTAGCTGCAACTCTTGTGTTGGCTACTTAATATTCTAAGCTAGAATTCTAGGTAAGTTAAAGAACAGAGGCCACAGCCACAGACGTGTGGGGTGGGGGGGCAGGGGGTGTAGCTAGACAGCAAGGGGCTCGCAGTTTCACCTGCATTTAGCGAAGAGCCTTTGGAGGGAATACTTACGGACAGTGTCATTGCTGGAGTCCCACGCCTCCACGAGCAAAGTGTAAGACCTCTGCAAGACAGACAAAGCACAGCTCAGTCACTCACAGATAAGGGCCACCTCTCAAATGCCAGCCGTTCTTGGCCTCCAAGAACTAAACATAAAGCCAAAATGAAAATTCTGTTCGCCATCATGCTGAGACCGTGTGTGTTTAAAGCTGGACCAACTCCCCTCACCTGCTAAGCACCCCCACCCCCCCACCCCACTCCTGTTGACAAATGGCTCCTTTCACCTGGCAGGGGCCCCACTGCTGTCACCACTCATAGTCTTTATCAGGAAATGCCACCTCCTTCTAGGGGGCACTTAGCATAGAGAGTGCTCCAGAACTTTCCAGACTAGAACCCTGGCACATTACAAACAACAAACAAACAAAACACTATAAAGAATTTATTCTAAGCTAATTGGGTATTTACACCAGGTGGGGGAAGGGGGCATCCCCCTCCAGCAAGAAGGACTGGGCATTGCTAAAATTACACTTCGGATCTTGGTAGGGCTGTCCCCAGGGAGGCCCTCTTTTCCTTTTCAGAACCCTTTTGAAAGCCCTGTCTGTGTGAGCCCATCACCGCTCCCACAAGTATCAGGTAACTCTAGGAAACAGGGGCGGGGGTAGGTGCAAAGAGGCTCCGAGACAAAGGCAGCAACCGAACTTGGGGAGGAGGGGGAGTGCAGGGTAAACTCCAGGGAAGACCAGTACAAAAGGGGAAATAACTGCACACCCCAGGATTACATTTATTGATGAATTGGTCTATAAGTTCTAACATTCCAGGAATAATCAAGAGTCTGTGAACTAAAATTCCCTGGATTCTGGCAAGAAGCCAGCTATTCTAACCGAAAGCTGCTTTTATCTGCTAGCTCTATCGCAGAATTCCGCTTCTCCAAAATCCAAGCCATTAGCAAATTCCCGAGTTTACTCAGATCTTCATTTGTAATTTAAAATGAGCTCAGTCTCAATAGAACACAAGAGACCAAACCCACTGCTGTGTAGTTCGCCCTGACTCTGTCTCAGGGCCATCTGAGACAGACAGACAGACAGACAGAGCTGAACTGCCTCGCAGTGTGTCCAAGGCGCAAGGTTTGGCTCTCTTGCCTACGAGTCCCAGATTTGTACCCTTGCTTCGCCACTGTTCAGCAAGAAGTTCAGCTCACAGACGAAACACCGAAGTACCAGAAAACACACCGCCCCCAAACGAGGAGGCAGCTCTTAAGGTGAAGAGACCAACAACAGAAAAGGAACTTCATTCATAATTCAAAGCAAGTTCACCGACCACGCTGTGACACAGCAGGTCCTCTCGGAATAGAAAAATAATCTTGTGCCTTGGAATTCAGCCGAAATATGTTTCATACTCAAAGCCGACAAGGATTCCATTTCGTTCACTGATAACTGTGGGAAAACATTCAGAAGATCAAGCAGGACCAGGCAAGTCGGGGCATATACTCAGCCCTCTCCTGGTAGTGGTCATCGAACCAACTTCATTGTTGTCCTCGTTAATATTTTATTAGTGAAAGTTACACCTTGTTCATAGCCTCTGTACGTTTCTGAGGGCTTCCTGCAAATTACAGGGCCCTCTCCCAAAGAGTAGCAAGAAATCATATTTCTTGACTAATGCAAAGGCCAGAGTCAAGTCAAAGGAAGCCAGAGGTGAGGCTGATTTGGCATAATTAAGCCCTTCATTTGCTGATAACGTGGAGACCCACGTCCTGCACGTCAACAATATTGTTGTAATTAATCCTCTGATTAAATACATTGATACCAAGAGTTTTGACAGACTAGCACAAGCACCAAACACATAATCCCTACAAACCCCCTGTAAGGGCAGGCAGGGCTGAGCTGGCATGCTGATATTAACTCTGGTTAACACTCAAGGAGGAAGTCATCAGTAGATCTTACACAAGAACTTGGAAAGCCAAGTTGTCCACCAGGTTCATCCTCCCCGAACTGGGCAGACCTTCGAAGGTGCTGACCGACACCACCCCGCCTGACAGAAGAACAAGGCACACACAACTCTGGTCGCCTGGCTTCTCAGAGATGGGGGAGGGGGTGGGGCGGCAGGGGGAATAAGATGGGGTGAGGGCAGGGGGCAGACAACATGGACAAAAAGCCCCACAAAACGCCTGGACCTTCTCTCTCCTGAGCTTCGGAGGATGAATTATGGCTCTGGGACACACCTCCCCAGGCAAGAGGATTACTCCTGCTGAGTCTTTAGAGAAAAGGATTCCCTGCAATGCTCCCATTAGGAGTGGCTCTTGCCCTCCCACTCTATCCCCACACTATAGATCAACAATCAAGATAATTCAGCAATGATTATTAGTTGCTAGGGAACTTTAATTTTTCCCAGGCCCACACTTGACCTCTGTATATCCCCGGATATACATTCAGACACTGAAATCACAGATCATGCACACCTTACGCCATCAAAGCAGGGTACCAGGCCACAAATCAGTAATCCGCTATGATCATGTCACACTCAATTAGCCATTGAAAATCTGACCCTCAGCAGAGGCTGGGTCCCAGAGAGGATGGAAGGGGGTGCCTGGCAAGATGGGGTGTGTGCAGTCAAGGGTGGTGGTGTCAGTGTGGGGAGCAAGTTCACTCCCCAAATACACCTAAACCAGCAAATACCTGAGTTGTTCCTTAATTTCAAACTATGAAAATAAAATCCATAAAGAGTATGAGGTCACGTGACTTTCATTTTCCTTAATGTAGTCCAGGAAACCCTAAGGGCAAAGCCGGGTGTATACGTAAAAATCACAACCACGGCCAAAACCAAACCAAACCTCAGCAGCTGCCCAGCCAGTCAACTCAAGCCATGATGATGACCCCATGAGTGTCAGTAGAACTGTTGCCTACAGTTTTTATTCAATGGCTGATTTTTCTCAGAAGCAGTTCACCAGGCATTTCTTTTGAGTGCCCCTGAGTGGATTCATCCTGCCACCTGTTCAGTTGAGTAGCCCAGACCCACTCAGGTTCCCCTAGGAAGGACGGGGAGTTAGCATATTTTCAAGCTCAGGTTTGCAAAGGCAATCACTTCTGCCACTTCCAGCTCCAGGCCCAAGGGTATCCGTCAACTCCAAAGTCGATTCCCACTCTCCTGTGACAAGAGGAAGGCCAGCTTCTTTCAAGTACCTCTGGGGAGAACTTCCATGGAATTTTGCCTGGAGGAATGTACTGGCATCAAAGCTACTACCCTGCCAAGGCTGCCTCCCCCCCCCACCCCAGGATTGTGTTCTGCAACCCGTTCCACTTGACAGTGGTTACCTTGGCACCAGGCAGAGTGGTAAGCACTTAATTGCCACATTAAGAAGGAGGGGTGGGGTGGGGGATGTAAGAAACAAAGGTAATTGTGTTGGCAGCTGGGAGCTTCCTTTTCCTGGTAACAGTGGCAGCCAAACCAAGCCCTGAGAAGCGGCTGTCTCCCCCTCCTGCCAAGCTGATGGACACAAACAAACTGCCATCCAAACGGCACGCGTGCACAGTCCAAAAACTCAGTGTAACGCACATCCTGGGAATGCCTGGTGTGCCAACGTGGCCATTGTGAAGGCAGTCAGCCCCCGGGTTTGTCCAGGCCTGTGCTCTGCTGACTCAACTGCTGCTTCCTGTTGCTTGCCCCATATTAGCATTATTTTTGGAGAGGCCCCATTATTCTCTGTAATCCTTCTTTCAGTCAATTCGGCCATACTATTATCCTGCCTGTGTCTGGGTGGCCAAAGTATAACATATTGCAGTCACAAAAGTGATTGAACAGGAAAGTCTCTGGAGATTTTCTATGTGCACACAGTCATGGGTACACACACACACACACACACACACACAAATTCACTTAACAGGCTTTGGCAAGGGGAGGTATAAAGTGCAGCTAGCTAGCTCCTCTCTATAGCATCCAAGGGAAGGCAACTTTAGTCATAGAAAGCAATTCAGTCTGCAGGGCTTGACATTTCAATAGAGTCCGATCTGGTTACAGAGGGCGATTTTCTCATGAAAGCCCACCTCAAAGACTCACCAAGCGGCCCCAGAGCTCAGATGCAGAGTGGAGACTCTCAATGAAATGCCCCCACCCCATTCCCATCATTACCCTTACCTGTTTGTAAAGCATCCCACTGATAATTAAATGCACCAGTTACAAAAGGGTGGCGAGGTTAATAGATAGAATACCAAGAAGCCAGCCAAGCACAACGGTCCGGTTCACACACAGCAAGCCTGAACAAGAAGCCTTTCTACTTATTTACCAAACGTGCACAAAAACTGGGCTGTGCTGGTAGAGGGCTCTGAGTGTTTGACTATTTCTGGACCATTCTGAACCGCGGGAACTGCAGTGCAGAATTTCTTCCCTGGACACACACACACACACACTGCCCCCGTGGTGAACACCATCAATGCCATAAACACAAGGGCCACAGGACTGCTTTGGCCTACGAAGGAAACCAGCAAGGAAGCCACAAAACCACAACATGGCCACTCGGTCCTATGCACTGAGATAAAGGTTGCTCATTTCTGAACCCAGCACCTATCTTCCCCGTCTCCCCCACACCATTCTAAAAATGGCTACGCATTTAACACACCTTCCTAAAGCCATCCTGCTGCCATGGTCACCTAATGGCCCTATAAGGACAGAGAACTGCTCGTCAGGGTTTCTGAGCGGTACATCTTATTGAGGACAGACAGCCTCGTCACCTTTCTCCCACAGAGCAACTGGTGACTTATGGCCAGACCTTGCTGTGAGCAACCCAACACTTAACCCGTGGCACCACCAGGAATCCTTCTCTTTCAATAACTGGGGGAAGAATATAGCTTGCTTGGCTCTAAGTTAGAATTTTTAAGAGCCAGAACCAAACAAACCAAGCACCACTTCTCTTAGCAAGTCCTCGAAAGCCTGGCATTGGTACCTAGTTCCATAAAGGTCAGCACTGCCTGTGAATTGGGCCAAGGCCTTGATTTGCAGGCCCGTGTTCAGATCAGGCACACGGAGAGCCCTTGTTGCACTGGCTCCATTTCTGTGAGAAACTTTGTGCTCCGTGCTAACGTTCCATATGCCGTCTGCATAAAAAGTCCCTAAGGCACTACTATTTGGCTTCAAGTTTGTGGGTTTTTTGAAGGTTCCGTGCCAAGTAAATGGCTGTCACTAGCTGCTGTCCCTTTCTCTTAATCCACCCAACTCCCCCAACAGGCTCCATCGGAAGCTTCCACCGTTTTCTAAAATCGTTAAGCCCATGTGGAATTATGGGTGTGGAGCCGGTGGGTTGCAAACTTAAGTACTGGAGGTTTGAATAAGTTGCTAAGAAACAAGACAACAAGGAGAAAAAACAGAAAAGGTTACACACCTGGCAAGAGAAATATTAGAAACTACCTCGAATAGGGATTCCATTTTGGGAGCAGAGAGCACCCTTGCAGCCAAGCGAGCATGCTCCACTTTTCGCCAAGTCCCATTTTGCAATGCAGGCATGTCATTCCACTGCTTCAGTTGGGAGATTTCTTAGAGCAAAGACTATTCTCCACCCACAGAAAGTCCCTTGCGCTGAGCAGATACACACAGGTGCTGTGTTTATAGACACCCTGACAACATGGGTCTCTAATGCTGGTGAAAGAAAAAGCCTGCTCACGTGAGAATCCCATTCTTCCACCTTCCATGTGTCCACACCAAAACTCGGAGGGCTCAGTGATCGAGAAAGACTGCAGACAGCAGCAAGGTAAGAGCTGTGTACCAGGGCAATATGATCAAATATGAGGATGGAAAGCCAGACAGTCTCATCTTTCTCCTGGTGAGCAAGCTGGTGGGTTTGAACTACCGACCTTGCTGTTAGCAGTGTAATGCTTACCTGACAGTGCCACTGGGGTTCATTTTCGAGGCTGGGTAAGTAGCAGTAATTATGCTAATGTTTTTAATAAGCAGGCACTCCTGGGACCTGGCAAATTTTGGGAGGTCCCAACTTCACCATTTTAGCTGACCTATCAATGGTTATTTCCCCCAAATCATTTCCCATTGAGCCCAATTACCTCTCACAGTGATGATCCTATCACTGGAGCCCCCAATTTAAGGATCATAAATCAAAGCCAGTTGCCTCTAGCCAAGTCCCTAAGAACAAACAGCAGTGCTAAGAACAGGATTTTTATCAGTTGCCACTACAAGACCCAGGCTGGGGCAGTGGACACCAAGCAGGTTGGTGTCCGATATGTCAGCACCTAGGCCCACCAAGGGTCTACAGAACTTCTCATGGCGACCATTCTAAATAGGTTGTAGTTTGCATCTGACTAGATTGCTCTCTCCTTTCTCTCCAGAACATGGGACAGTAGTTTGATTGGGGTCATAATTCAGAACAAAGACATGAAGTACACAGCCTTCTAAAATGCCCCTCACATGACAGCCCTTCCAACTGTCATGAGTCTAGAAGGAGCGAAGCAGACAGGTCACTGACTGCCCAAGCAGAAGTTGGCACCTTTGGTGGCTGGGAGTACAATTTGGTCCAGAATCTTCTTTTAGACTAAACTTACTTTCCTACCTCTTGAATTCTGTATCAAGTTCAGATCTTATCACCTATTCAAGGAAATAGGTTATTGTAAGGCATGCTTATTAATATTTAATTAGTAAACATAATGAAGGTATACGATCTACTTCAATCCTTGATAGCTACATGGGGGCTTTCACTTTTTAAGTTCACTCTCACCCTGAAATCACTCTTGAAAGTTACATACTGTGGTCTTTTTCCAACCATAGTCAGAAAAATAAACTAAGACAATATATCGACGCTCCCAATTTTCTCTTGGGAAGTGAAATTTATGTTTCAAAAGGGGGGTTTTCTGGAAGAGGCAGGGTAGAGACTTGTTTATGCGTGACACACACACAGCTGGCCCAACTTAAAAAAAAAAACCACACTCCTGGTGTCTCCTCAGAAGTCTCCCATTCTAAAAAAGCTGACAGTCTATTTCATGGCCGGTGACCCATGGGGCCTGAAACCACAGAGAACACCAGCAAATCAAATGCTTCCCCTGCCCTTCCTTCCTGTGGAGCCTCTCTGCCAAGTGTCAAAAGGGGACTGACACACCTTCTAGGTCACTTTCCCTGAGCCAGCTACTGTCATTCAAACCATCCTCTACCCTTCCCTCCAAAAGGAACCTCAGCCAGGCCTGCTGCTTTTTCACATCACTTGTAAGATTCCTTTTATGGTCTTGTGAAAAGAGAGGGGCTCAGGACTGATCCTCCGGGTGGTGGAACCACCTGCAGGGCCCTTCTCCCTGAACTTCAGCCACACATTCATAGGCAGTGGTCAGTATTCCCACTGCACGTGGGCCCAGCCAAATTTATAACCGGCCAACCCTCCCGGGTTCAAAAAATATCTCCATAATAGGGATGAACAAACAGGACACATGCTCATTGAAAAGTCAAATCCCACAACAGAAGCAACCTTCCAATCTCACAGAACGCTACACACCACAGGTCTTTATTAGCCCCTCTCGCATTTAATAGATGCGTTTTGATAACGATCCTTTCTCACACGCAGCAGAGGACACTAGAATGCCAGCTCCTGTAAACATGGGCATTTGGCACCAAGCCGGGCATCAGCCGACCTAGCCAGCCACTCTCCAACTCCCTCCAGAAGCTCAGAATCAGAGGAACCCAAGGGTAGGAGGCAGCAGAGTGCACCCACCCCACCAGAGCACGTGGTGCAGAGCGTTCCTCTAAAGCCCCAGCCACCACCACCCACCCTCTGGAGCCACGCTGGGCCAAGCCCCAATTCTAGCAGTGAGTCACGCCTCCTGGACAGCAGGAGTTGGGCAGAGGGCACCCCCCAACGTTTCCCTTTCCTCCCTTTCTGCAATCACACCCATCTTCCTTCCACCCAATTTGAGATGTTGCAAGGGCTTCACTGAGGGGTAGACCCTGCGGGGCCCACTCCTCCGGACTCTAGGGAGTGGAGGGGGGGGGCGGCTCAGGAGTCCAGTGCCTGTATACCCCTAGGCTGTGCCTTCAGTGTCCCTTCCCTACCCGCTCGGTGCTCCCCCGAAGGCCTGCGGGGGCTGCGTGCCCGCCTAGTAAAGCGCGCCTCAATCTTGTCCAGGAAAGTTTGCAAACACAGCTGTTCCAGTGCCCAGGAACCGCTGGAAGGAAGGCCAAAAGGACTGCATAGCGCGGGAGGGGTTAAGAGGGAGGCGAACAGCAGGGGGCAGGGGCTCCCCAACCGACAGCCCCTGAAAGGGCCCTACGACAGTCCCCCCTCCCCACGCGCCGCGGAGGCTGCCCGAGCCCAGGCCCGGGGCGCGCTCCCGCACGCCCCAAAAAACTCCGGGGGAGAAGCGGGAAATGAGCTTCCCCCGCCCCTCCTCGCAGGAAGGACACACCCGCCGTCCCGGCCGCTCACGGAAAAGGGGAGAGTGCCAATTTGGAAGGCCTTCGAAGGCACTAATTGCCCGCAGTCTCTTTCCACCGTGCTCCACGTTTAAGTCGTTAAGTGCAGAGGCCACCTCTAATGACCTCCCGCCTCGGGGGTTACTCCGGGGCCTTGAAACCGGCTTTCCCGGGCGTGGTGCAGCGTCGCCCGGTCGGGGGGCTCCACTTGTGGGCGCTCGGCGGAGAGCCGTGCGGATAGGGCCGTGCCCCGTCAAATGCAGCCGAGGTCTGCACTAACGTCCCTGCAGATCCCCCCCGTTACGGCCGACTTCCCAGCCGAGGCCCTTTAAATGCCTCCCGCGGGGGACCGGAGGGGCTCGGGCGGGCGCGGGGAGCCAGCCGCCTGGGCCCGGGCTCCCTCCCTGCGCCCGTCACTCACCGGCCAGGCGAAACTGAAAGGCAGCACGATGCGATTGCGGTCGTTGCCGCGACTGGCTTTTAGATTGAAGGTATTGCCTCCGATGACAGGCGTGGAGCCCGACCCGAAGCTGCAGGGGCCCCCGGCCGTGACGCGGGACTGGTATTCCTTGAGGCACACTTTGAAGTACGTGTCACACTCGTCGCGGGCGCACTTGCGGTCCCCGGGGCTCCGGGCGCCGCCGCAGCAGTTGCCGTTCTGGAGCTCCCCGTTCACGTTCTGCATGGACAGGATTTCCAACTCGAACTGGCCCGAGGCCCCGCACACCTGCCGGCGAGGTTGGGAAGGAGGGAGGTCAGCGCAGGGGAAAGTTGTCTTCCCAGGTGGAGCAGGCGACTCCGTCCCCGCCCGCCCGCCCCGACGAGCCCTCGGCTCCAAGTGAAAGTAATTTGGCAAAACGCAGGGCTAGCGGCTCCACGGGATTCCGGGGCAGAAAACGCACGAGTGCGGAAGGCAGCCGACGACCGACGGCGGGGCACGGGG